ACCGAGGGTCTTCGCCTAGAGGGACTCTTCTTGGCGGCCTTGTAGACAGATTGCTTGCCTCCGGGGCCGAGACGTGGTAGGCATGATTGTTTTGAGATGAGGGATACAGAGACTTCCCTTTGATTCATTAGAGGCCATAGACTCACTGGCCGTGACCTTGGACTCGGGAGACATAGACAGTCTTTGATTCATTACACCGTTTGACAGTCTTGGGTGGAATTCGAAAGACTTAATATTGCTTTTGAATCATATTCTACTTACTTAAATAATCCAAAGGTGATTCACTACCTGTGCATCCCATTCAGTTGAGCATACCCAGGTACCTCGTCTCAATCTTTGTATCCTTGGTCGCACCCTTCACTCCAATTCTGACAACCTCACCGGGGACAATGTCTACCAAGTTATCGCTGAACACCACAGCATCATCCTCAGCCTCCAACGCGACACCCTTGACGGGAACCTCGGCACTGATCCCTACCACATCACCGCCCTCCGCAAGTGTCGCCTTCAGGCTCTTGGGCTTCTGCAAGTGCAGATACTTGAGCGGCTCAGGCCAGTTGACGTAGCGCGCAATCTGCTTGCCGTTCTGAATCAGGTACGCTGCGACGACGGTCTTGGCCTCATCGCCCTTTTGCCTCACGGGGACCTCAAAAGCAGCCATCTCCGTTGACCTGTTCTCAGGCAGGACAAAGCCCTTGTCAACAGTCTCCGAGTACGTCTCCTCGCCGGTCTCGACGTCCCACGCCTTGACCAGCAAGTCAACGGTCAGGTCTTCCAGTTGCAGATTCGAGCCCCAAATCTCAATCTGCGTCTTGGTTTCGATATCGACGCGCGTGTACTTGTCCTTGGGGTGCTTGTGCTCCGTGCGGGTGATGCCAATGGAGATTGGCGCCATCTCGCGCTTTACGGTGAAGTAGGCGTGCTTCGGGCGGAGGTAGTAGTCGCAGATGGCCCATGAAGTCACGGGCCAGCAGTCGTTGATTTGCCATACCAGTGCTCCGCCGCAGTATTCCCTGCCGGGACCCTTCCACTGCCTCTTCCACAGTCTGTAGGCCGAGGCCAGACATTCAGCCTGCATCAGCTGCGTACAGTAGACAAAGTGCTCCAAAGGATCGGGTGCGTAGCGGAAATTCTCGACCAAGTACAAGGCAATGCGGCGCTCGTGGCCGTCGGCCTTGTTGTGGAAGTCGACGGTCGAGGATTGAGGGTAGCGGTCTGGGTCGTCTTTGCCTTTGGGCAGGTATGCATCAATGGTCTTGACCGAGGGGAATGCCTCCATGCCGAATTCTGACACGAAGCGGCCGACGAGCTTGTCGAAGTTTTGGTACTTTTCTTGTGTACCGTGCCAGACGTTCCACTGGTGAAGATCGCCGACCGTAGGGTCTCTGGTGTCCTCCCCACTCCAAGGGCTGCCAAAATGGTAGTAGGTGTCGGGGATGAGGTCTTTGCACGTATCGACGAGGATCTTTTCGTAAATGTATCGCGCAGGGAAGTCCGTCTTGAGCCAGCTCTCTGCGTCCTTGTTTGCGAGATCGTATGTCAGATTCTCGCTCTCTGCATACTGGTAGTCTTCGTTGTTGCCCGCCCAAATGACAATGGAGGGATGGTGACGCAGCATCTTGACGTTCTCTCTCGCCTCTCTGTCGATGGACTTTAAAAGATCTGGCCAGGTAGGGTAGTTACCGCATCCGAACATGAAGTCTTGCCACACGAGGATGCCGTACTCGTCGCAGGCATCGTAGAACTCCTGCTCCTCGTAGATGCCACCACCCCAGACACGAACCATGAATTGGTTGCCGTCTGCCAGCAGGCGGATCCAGTCATAGTACCTCTCCTTGCTGATGCGAGGGATGAAGTTGTCCGCAGGGATCCAGTCGCTTCCACCGCAGAAGATGGGGACGTTGTTGACTTGAAAGAAGAACGATGTTCCCGGTTGCTCCTTGACCGGTCTTTGCACCAGCTCGACCTTGCGGATACCAATCTTCTTGGACAGGTTATCGACCTCGTCGCTGCCGCTGAGGAGGGTGGCTGTCACGGTGTATAAGGGCTGCTTGCCGTAGCGAATTGGGTACCACAGTGCAGGGTCTTGTATTTGGAACGTTGCTGCGATATCCGCATCGGCTTTGGCGTCGATCGTCTCAGAGGCCAGCGATTTGCCATCGAGTGACACATCGAAGCGGACCTTTGAGGCCTTTCCTTCTGTCGTAGCGTGAGCGACGACCTTGGCGCTCTTGAGGGAGTCGTCGACAGTGGTCTCGAAGTAAAGATCGGATAGGCGTGACTCGTAAATTTCGAGGTTGATGGGCCTCCAAGGACCGCATGTCAGAAGAGTCGGGCCCCAATCCCAGCCCTGATGGTGTTAGTACGGTCATCCTGACAATCGAGGGTGTACGACGGGCATACCCAGTGGTATTGAGCTTTTCGGACTGCAAGTCTCGAGTTGTCACCGTTCCAGCATCCCCACTTGTGATCGGGGTACTTCTCAACCAGCTTCCAACCCCGTAGGTATGCGCTGTCGAAGGTGATCTCGAGCTCGTTCTCCCCATCCTTTTTCAGGACGGATGTGACATCGACACGCTCTGGTGTGAACATGTTATCCGTTTCTAGGATTGTCTTGCCATTGAGAACAACGGTAGCAAAGGTGTCGAGACCGTCAAAGGCCAAGATTGCCTTGGCACCCTCGGGGATGGCCTCAGAGGCGAATGTGGTCTTGTACAGCCATTGCACCTCTCCAATCCACTGGACGTCGAGCTCGTTTTTGCCAATGAAGGGGTCGGGGATGACGTTGTGGTGAATGAGGTCGAGGTGGACGTTTGTTGGGAACTGACTGACGGCAAGGAGCTCGCTGTCTTCTTTGTCGGCCTGCTTAAACTGCCAGTTCTTGTCGACTGGGATGACGGTTCGTGATGCCATTGTTTGGAGGGGGCGGCGGTGGCTGGAGGTGTTAGCTGTGGTCGAGCTGCGGATGAGCTCTGGATGAACGCGCATTGCGTGGGGAAGCACTTGGGGATGCAATGAAGGTGTGCAGAGATGCCAATTGAAGGAGTAGATGGGTGGGATCTCACCAAAGATAAAAGAGAGGAATCCCGGGATATTTGCAGGCGCGCGCAAGAGCGACGATGAAGTCGTGGATGAGCGCACCGAGCGCAGGTGCCCCGCGGAGGATGGCGGGGTAGATGGGTACCTTAAGGTGCCTTAGATGGTGGTCCGGGACAGGGACGGGGGGTTGGAGGGGCCGAGGGGCAAGTCGTGTTGCTGGGTATCTCACTGTGAGAACTTCGAGGGTGAATGAGACAAGACAGAATCCTCGCTCAATTGGCAACCTCACGACGATGCGGAGTAGCGGTGAGTAAACGGATTAGTGTAGCTGATGATGGAACCTCTCAGAGAATCTTCAAACAAAATGACTGCCATACGCGTGAAAGGCTGGGAGGATGTGTCGCCTTCATATACTCCTCACCATCTCATCCATGCACCACCCTCACTCATACCAGACCGGGGAGCTCTCTCCACTTGAGTTCACCTCACCACCTCTCATCTCACCTCATCTCATGCTTTTGGTCTTTGTCAGGGAATTGAGCTTCCTCTACACTAATTCGTATAGCTCGCCTCACCTCGGGAACGGCGCACAGCTATTCTAGCCAAAACATCCCTGAAGTCCGATCAACATGTCCAGTTCCTAGGATGAGCGTCTCCTCCAACCTCGTGCAATTTGCCTCAGTCTGAACGACGGGACGACATCCGCCGAGATGCATCTCCATACCCTCCATGCCCGATCCATGATCCAGGGCACCTTTTCCCCAATAGGCTTTTTTCCCTTGGATTCCCTGGAAGCCAGCTCCCCCACACCTCCCACCTTGTCTGCTCTCACGTACCGGTATTCCCCTTCTGGTACAAGCCAGGTACGCGCGGAGAATGAGGGACGCCTCTTTTTCTCCAACATAGGCACAAGATTGTCTGTTCTCTAGGATTAGGAATGGAACATTGTTTAAAGTGTGCTGCCACGGTGTGGTTACATCCCTTGCTGGATAAAGTCAACCTGCCGGCGGGCTGCATTCGGAGGAAGCCACGCACATGGCTGCAAGACCAAGGGGTCTGAGTGAGGTGACCCTTTACCTTGTGTTCTAAGAGTCCAACTAACATGAGAACGTCTGTGATGGCAATGTTGCCCCTCACCTACCTCACCTTGACCGGGCTGGTTCTACAGTAGAGAAGCCCACTGACGGCGCAGCACATGTTCTTGGCAAGAGACCGTTCCCATCACGCCGGTATCCTCTTAGGTACAACTCGTCATGGCAAATCGGCAACTCTTCCTATTCGAAGGCCTTTGTCCCAATTCCCATAAATATCGTCAAGTCTCACCATCGGGGATATAAATCACCACCGACGAAGTGGAGAACCGCCTCTTTACCCCAAATATCCAAAAGTTTCCCCCAATTCCACCTTGGAGACCCCTGCTCACCTCGGTGGGGTTCCTTCGCGGAGGGAGGCCCTCCGTCTTCTCTGTTGGGAATAGGCGTGGGAATCGCTGCATCATTCTCCGATGCTCCAGGGCCCGAGGATAGCCTCATGACGGCCACCTTCCACGTTGTCAGTCCCCCTCGCTCTTACAATACGGCAAGAGGTTTCTTTGGTTTTGAATCGCTGGCTTTCTCGGCCGTGTTACGAATGCATTGCATTTCTGCAGCTCGCCGTTTCAAGTTTCCAATTGTGCCGTCCTTCTCATCCTCTAGCATCACATCGCCCAAGTGGGCTTCCAGTGGGACGGACGCATTCCCGCCGTTCATCATGTCCTTCACTTCACGGCCAATATCAGACTCGAGATATTACATCTGTCAACAATCCAGGAGGCCAAAGCTCCGTCGCAAGACTGTCAAGATTGCCTTTCCAATTCCAAATTCAAATCAGATCATGTAGACATTTCCATACGCCCCTCAGTCAAATCCTGCCAGGCGACCCCAAAAGTCACATCATCAATACCAAAAGCACTCGCCTTGTCTGCATGTTCCAAAAGGTGTCATTAATGTATGTAGTTGTGAAAGCGAAGCGTGTATGTGTGCGACCAGCTCCGATCTGGGAGCAAGGTATCTATCCCGTAACGCCAGCTCCCCCAACTTCGACCTGTGAAGCGAACGTGGCTCCTTCGTCGTCAATCAAAATCAAATACAACGCTAATCTCGGACCCTCGAGCCCGTACCTTAGTATCCGGTCCCGTGATGGACCATCCCGTGGACAATAAAGACGCCTCGCAAAACTCCACGCCCAAAGATACCAGCCAGCAAGAATCCAAGTTTCGTCTCTTCTCTTTCACCATACGGCACCTTATGGCACCTTATGGCACCGTACGGCAAAAACACCTCAGCAGCAGTTGCCCCCTCTTCGTCGGTTCGACAAGGTAAAGACCTCTTCCCAGTCTCTCAGCCCCCAGTTTGCGCCGCTGCGCGTGTTTCGTCGGCCTCTTCGTCTGCGGACGCCTCCCGCCGCTTCATCGAGTGTCGCGCCAGTCATGGAACTCTTGATGCTCGCGCCGTCGCTGGCTCCCGCATTCCATCCGCCTCCGTATCCGTCGCCGTATTGAATGCCACTCATCGGGTCGTCCGGATCGATGTCACCCAGCTCGATCTTGGTAAGGATCATTCTAGCGAGCCTTGCAAAGATTTCGTCAACATTTTCGCCATTGAACGCGCTCGATTCCATCACCACCGGGATCCCGACCGTCCCTGCCCATCTGTTCGCATCCGCATTACTGACTTCACGCCCTTCCGGCGCCTCCGTGGCCTTCTGCTGCGTGCCGAGCGATGGCAGGCTTGTCCCCGTTGATCCGACGGAGCCGTTTGCAAAGTACGACATGGAGCCGACACTGCTCGGTGTTGGCGGAGGAAGGCTTGTATCGATAAGTTGGTCGGAAGCGAGATCGAGCTTGTTGCCTACCAATAGGCATGATAGATTCGGGGATGCTAGTGCGCGGGCGTCATTGAGGAAGGGCTGTAGACCGCGGAAACTGCTGTGATTTGTGACATCGTAGACGAGGATAGCCCCGGCGGCGCCTCGGTAATATGATCGCGAAACGGAGCGGAATCGTTCGGTGCCGGCCGTATCCCAAAGCTGGTGTTCCTGTAATCAGCATCGCCTTCCTTGTCCATCGCACTGTAGAGAGCTTCGAGGGCATACCTGAAGCTTTATCCGTTTCCGCCGTGATCCGGTGCCGACTTTGATGATCTTGCTTGCAAACTCAACGCCGATAGTCTGTGACGACAGGACTCTCCACTCGTTCTTGACGAAGCGGTGAAGCAGACAGGACCTGAGATCGCGGAGAAGCGCCATGTCAGCTATATGCGAGGGCCGGAGTTGGTCGCGTGCTCCTGTTCGGGTGTTGATGCCACTCACTTGCCCGTCCCGCTTGGTCCCAGCAAGATAATCTTTGCCAAGTAGTCGTACATGCTACCCAGCTCCTGCGCACTCCGTCAGTATGCTATCCCATCCCATGGTTCCGGTCGTTATCGGGTCGGAGTTCGTTCAGGTGGTTCCTCACCTGTTCGCCGGCGGTGCCGTTGCTCTCCTCGCTCGCGGCGCTGGAACGACGCGGTCTCGTCATCGTGGCGGTGCGGAATGTGTACAAGGTATGGTATGCGGCGCGATGGGGTGTATCGGTCGTAAATATCGGGCGACAGCGGCGCAGCGGCGATAAGGCCGGGAAGGAAGCTAAATGGCGGAGGAGGAGGAGGGAAAGTCGTGCAGTTTGTAAGCAAAAGACGGTGACAGTTCTAGTTTGGGCCGATAACGCGCTCAGGCGCAAGTTTCGATTCGTGAAAAGCAAGAAATGCTAGGCATAGAGAAAAGGAGGATATAAAGAATCGGCGGCCTCTGGGACTGGCGGCGATGTTGAGGTCGCAACGAGCAACGAAAAGGCGTCAGATCGGGTTTGTTGTTTCGAGTTGGGCAAGGGACGGGAAAAGGAAGATTGACGTCGGTTGAGGTGCGCTTCCTAGGTACCTATGCCTTGCGCTGATTGCGTTCAGGTAGTTGGTTGGTGCAGTAAAGTGTGCTGGCAAAGCACCTAAAGGTCTAGTGCTGGGCTGCAATGACGGCACACCACCGCCAGACAACTGGGCCGGGCCTCCGCCGGGCTCCGCTGGGTCTGCGACATGGGATGGGGGGCTCGAGCGCCAACGTCAAGCCCACCCGCGTACAGCGCACGTGCCAGGAGTGTGGCTGCTGCGATTACGTACCTCGGAGCCTTATCAGACGGCCCGAGACAGAATTCCATTGGTCCTGCACTCCAGTTCCAGCCCCAAGAGTACGTACTGCCTCAGGTGACCCCGCCAATCGTGGCTTGACACTTTGCCCACCATAAGTGGGACCATTCTGTTCACCGAGTCTACACCGGCTGCCGAGGCTTGACTTTGTTCCTCACCGGACTACCGAGCTTTAGTGGAGCACCCGCTGTAAGCTCTCACCTCAACACCGTCCTATTTGACCTCCTTTGACATCCATCCCCCAACTGCCAACGCATGTGATTTGATTTATACTTTTTCATAGACAAACATCATCATGAAGATCTCAGGCCACACTTTCATCATCTCTGGCGGGTAAGCAATGCATCTCAACTCCTCACTCAACAGGCTTCTCTCCGTGGTCCAACTCGCCCGTCATCCCTGATCACATGCCAATGACCACCACGCTAACCTTCATCCCATGACAGCGCGTCTGGCCTAGGACAGGCCTGCGTGGAGGATATATGCAACAATGGAGGAAACGTCGCTATTCTGGACATGAATGAGGATAGCGGCAATGAGCTGGTGTCCAAGCTGGGCTCCTCTGCAAAGTTCTTTGTCTGCGATGTTCTGGACACCAAGAGCATCGAGGCCGCCGTCCAGGGAACCGCCGCCTGGGTAAAGGAGTCCGGAAAGCCCGTCGGAGGTGTCATCCCAGCAGCCGGTGTTGGTAACCCGTCATCTGTATGCTTCCATCCCTGAGTCTGGCTACTACCGTGTTGTACATGTCTAACACTCGAGCCAGATTCTGGACCGCCATGGCGAGCCATTCGGCCTGGATGCTTGGGATTTTGTCCTAAACATCAACCTACGCGGCACCATCGATCTCACCCGCCAGGCACTGGCTCTCATGGCCAAAAACGAGCCCTCCAAGCCCGACGGCGAGCGCGGCATCGTCATCATGGTCGCATCGTCTGCAGCCTTTGACGGCCAAAAGGGCCAGGTCGCTTATGCAGCGAGTAAGGGTGCCGTCGCGGCCATGACGCTTCCCATGACCCGCGACCTTGCCCGCTTCGGCATCCGCGTTGTCACCATCGCCCCGAGTCTATTCGAGTCACGGATGACGTCCATGATGTCCGACAAGGTCCGCGCCAGTCTCGAGCGTTCTATGGAGTTTCCCGTACGTGCGGGTAAGCCTGAGGAATTCGCGGCACTAGCACGGCATGCTATTGAGAATGTGATGCTCAACGGGACAGTGTTGAGGTTAGATGGTGGCATGCGGATGCCGAGTAAGATGTAGCCGAGTTCTATTCAATCAACACAACTATACATGCTTGTACACGACATGAAAGCGTGTGAACATAAATGTGAAGTCAAATTGCAACGTAGGTAGTTTTTAAGGTTGAGGTGGGTGGTATTTCAGACTACATCCTTTGCTGCCGCAAGACACATTCTCTTACATGAGGTCACGTTCCCATGCATGTCGCCGAAACAGCACCCAACCAGCCGTCGGAGCCAAAGCAATCCCTAGAACACTGACGGATCCGAGCAAGTAGTCCTGGGACAGGCCTCGACAGAGTTGTAAACTCATGGGGTGAATTCCAGTACGAATGTCCTCCGCGACGCCATACAACCATCCTTTGTCGACTTCCGATTGTTGGTAAAGTGCAGCAGTAGCAGCATAGGTGGAGATTAGTGTTTCCGGTATCCATAGGAGCATGACAGTCGGAAGAATCAAGGCAGCGGTTGTCAGAGAAGACGAGACAGGAATCGTAGCCTCGCCGCTGAGTATCTCTTCGTCAGATGGGAATGGGGCGATAGCGTCGAACAAAGACTTGAGGCATAAGCCCGTCACGAGATCGAAGTTGTCGCACAAAATCGTTGTAGCGATGAAGCGCTGCCATGTGGCACGTCGTATGGTGAAGAGAGACGTCATGGACGCGCCATCCCTCTCATTCTCGTCAGACGTGACTAGATATGTCCAGGACAGCCGGATAGGAGCGCAGGCAATTGTGGTGAGCGTTGATGCAACAACTTTTGGCAAGTGAGGCTCTAGCCAGGAGTAGACGACCGTTTGCGTTCCCTTGTAGCAGACCCAAAGGCCAAGGGAAAGCAGTTGATGTAAAAACCTGTCTCGGCCTCTAAGTATTTTTGGGACGCCACGAAGTGTAAATACGGTTATGTCCGTGTGTTGGAGGTCTAACAAGTGCCGGGAGATCCTCCTAGTGGGGAAGAGATAAAAGAAGGGATACGGAGCCTGGTATTTGCAAATCAGTATTCATCTCTTTGGTGGATTGCTGGAATAAAACTACCATAAAGTTAATCGCTCGGAGAAAGTGGTCATGCAGTCCTAGGACTTCGGTTCCCTGACCTCCCAAATTTGCAGGGTCCATCGTGAAGAATTTCTAATTTAGTGTTTATTTAACGACGAAGAAATGATAGCGAATTCATTGAACTTGAAGCGTGTCTCAAACCATTTATAATTGAGAATCCTCGCTGCTATTCTGCCTGGAGTGGTCGGAACGTATCGGGTCATCATCGCGAGTATAGTTCGCCCGGCACTTTAAGTGTCCGGTCGTGACTCAACTTCAATCGGTGGATCCCGCGATTAGAACGGCACCTTCTGCGTTTCTCAATGTAGTCTTCATTGATAGAAAGTCATTTGTTATTTATTTCCACAAGAAAATGTGCGAAAGTCGTTCCGACGGTTTAGACGACGACACTAAGGCGTAGTTCTGCAGGCAGGGTGATCCGGTTGGCAGCGACAGGACCGGCCCGAAGATACTTGTAGCCTGGTTGAGTCGGCTACCTAGGCTGCCTCAGGAGAGGTCATCAATAGACAGGGCCCAGGGCTGACGATGCTTGAGTCCCCGAAAGCGATGCGATTTTATCTGTAGCATGGATGTAATTTGAGGTATTAAGAAAGCAATATACAGATACCGGGGAGGAGATCAACGCCTGAATATTACCTTTACCTGTGTTTTCGAAGGAAGGTTGCCTGCCTTAGATGAGCAGCTTTTCAGCAAAAACACCATTACACCAATACCAATATTTATAAGAAGACTGGACAGACAGCTTCAAGATGAATGAAATCAATTTTGCACAAAGACGAAAGGCGAAGAAGAAGGAAGGGACGAGGGCTAGTAACAAACAAAGGGGCTACAATGGCTGTCTTCAAAATACTGATTCCAGACTCCAGAATCCAGAGTGTCTACTGCATCATCATACTGAACACGTGAGTGACTGAATACGCAACTTCGTAAAAAATAAAATCACACCGCCTACTATGGAAGGTACGACCGGGTGAAGGATGAGCGTACCTTCCTGCTTTTTTCTGAAAACTTCCACCTCAGTCGCGTCTTTGGCCTGCCACTTTTCCTTTTCACCCTCACTCACCTTGGAATTTCTTCCTCTCAACACCCATCGAGTCTCGCAGACACTTCCAGTCTTGCGAGATCGCCTGTCACTTTTCCTTTCACTTTTGCTCACTACAGCCTTTCTCCTTGTCAAAATCCATCGAGTCTCGGAAATATTTGCCGCGCTCACACGAGATTGCCTCACTTTCCCATCTCACTCTCACCCTCATCCCACACACACTGAGCATTGCAAATACTTTCCTCATACGAAAGCATCTTTGTTTCTCATCTGCCGCCAGCGACAAGATGAGTGCCATCGCTCCCATTCAATTCCCTGGCCAGCCCCCTACCAACGGCGGCAACGGTGGATTCCCGCTCCAACGGATGCCCCAAGAGCTCATCTTGGAAATTATGCGCCAGATGGATGCCAACAACATTTCTCTCCTCCCGATCTCGAGCACTAGCCGACTCATGAGAGGTCTCAGCATTCCCATCATCTTCCGAGTTTCCCAGATAAGCTGCGCTGAAGATGCCCTCGCCCGTCGTATGATGGGAGTGTATCGCAACAAACTCATCCTTCGTTCCGTACAGTATGTCTTGTAATCTACCCGCATGGCACAGGTCTGTTGACTAACAATTAATTCCTCTCAGAGTACTCAGCATCTACACAGAAGGTCCGCCATCCTCACGAACCCCCGGCCGCTTTATCCAGATCCAAGGCCCCAAGGCCGCCTGCGGACCGTCAACTCCGAGGGACGTCATGTCTCTCATTGGCGAAATGCATAATCTTCGGGAACTCCGGATGGACTTTCGATTCAAGGCAACGTTGTCTCTCATCAGACCGGTGTCTCGGCGGATCATGGATTCAATTCAGTACGATTTCTTATCGATCACTGCATTGTCTTTCCCCATCACGTCAGACATCGGCTTCATCGTAACCGCCTTTCCGAATCTCAAAGCTTTCAGCTTCGAGGCGCCTTTGAACAGACAACTGTCCTCGATCGATGGTCTGAGCGACCTTGCGAGCATACTTGGACCCCAGCTTGCATCCATCCAGATCTGCAAAATGCGATGGGAGGTCAGTGACTTCCAAGAGGTCCAGGCAATCTTCCCCCAGATATCTCGCTTGACGATGGGCGGAACTATGGCCTTTGGAGGTTCCCCGGTACGGCCAAGATGGGATCTGCAGGTAAGTTACTATTGCATTCTTTATCTGCCTCACTGCAGGTCTCATGAACGCCCTGCTGACCAGTTTCGCACATTAGTTAGCAACTGGACACCTGGCGCCTATGGCCAACCTCAAGGTTCTTGCACTCAGTGATGAGCGAGGCCTGGCTTCCTCACCTCTGGATGCGATCTTGCCTGTTCACTACCAGGCCTCGACCATGGCCAAGAAGCTACTCCCCGCCATCGGTTTCCACGATGCTAGATCCCGGAGATACGACCAGGCGTGGAGAGTCTGGCAGAACCTTCCCAACTTGGAAGTTCTCTACATCATGGACCGATCTTTTCAGGGACATTGCTTTGTTCCCGTCAAAGACAACCAAGGACAACTTATCGACGTCAAATTCTCGGATGGCGTGCAGAAATTCCCTTGGCCTGTTGCCTGAGGACCTTAGCCTTGTGTCTTTTTGGCCAAGGAGTCATGCCATGCCTATGCCCGCGAGAAGTTTCGGGACCGTACTTTGAGGTTATTTGCGATTCATCCTGCTTTATCTGTTTCCCTGCCCAAGCACCTAATAGTTGGCCTACTAGAGGCGACATTGCTGTGTGATACAAGGGCATAAGGGCTAGGTAGTGAAGTGCACAAATGCACAACTTGTCATGGCGTTCAATTGAAATGGGATCTTATTTGGCAAAAGAACATCATGATTCTCAACGGTACTTTGGACTAGACTTTGTGTCTTATCTATTGTGATCTTTGTCGTCAAAGAAAGTGGCATCTCTGAGCTCGTGACTAATCTTTGTTCATTTTTGGTTCAGTCCCCTTCTCCTCGTTTTATGGCCTGCCTAGAGAGAACGGCGAATGTTTGTGAACTGCCTCTCTTTATTGCTCCTCATTGAAGCAGGGAAAGGTAGAACATCCAAGGCGTCCACGGTGGTCTGGCAGTCAAGACAATTTGGAGTGAATTGAACCTCGACGGCCTGAGATTCTACCTTAATGGAAGGATGTGATAAGTAATTGGTGTGAAGTGCCTACTATTTCCAGTATTTGGCTTCCACTTGCCCTGAATCCCCTCCCAAGGTGGTCACTTCCTACAACTGCCTCAACTCTTTGTTAAATTCGAAAAGCCGCACCTTCTCGCAACTTCCTTCACGCACCGGAATTCGCATTATAAAAGGTTTGTCCTGGGCCATCTGTAATACTTTCTTATATTTCCAGCACTCGCTACTTCCTCGCCTGGTACTCAATTTCTTTCTCTTGGCACCTTCCTGAGCAACCGAACCTCTCCTCGCTCACCCCTTTCATATTCTAACTTCTTCAAGCTATCTATCGACAAAAGTCATCTAAGAAACTACTGCTACGATGGATAGTTCCAGAGGTCGCGGCTATACCGCAACCGAAGCGGTCGTCTCCACTCCCCCATCGAGCGCCAGCCTCATGACCTTGCCTCTGGAGCTGATCATCGAGATCATCGGATTTGCCAAGCTTTCTAAAAGTCGAAAAGGCCTCTACTTTGAGGATCGAAGCAGCCTCAGAGAAATGTCACGGGGCTGCAAACTCTTCCGTGTTTTCACCATCTCTGACCTCTTCAAGACTGTCTGTCGAACAGTCAATGAGAACGAGATCCATTCCCAACTCCAAGCCATCGAAAATAACGCGCTGATTCTGGGTTCCATACGGTAAGTCCACGCTCAATCGTCCTCGCCATTTGTTTCAGCGTCACCTCTCTCAACTACCTGGCTCTAAATGCTAACGTCTCTCAAGCCACTTGTCTCTTTGCACCCAAGGCCCCGAGTGGCCTCCCACGAAGTGGCGGAATGACTACGACCCATCCATTATCCCATGCTCAAGAGCCACAGCAGCACTTCTCGTCAAGGTTTTGCTCAAGACCACCCCAGAGGAAGTTCGTCTCACCTTCAAGTGTGGAAACAAGTCCATGGTCGCCCTCTTCCGTGCAGAGCTTGGCAAGCAGAAAGCATGCCTGCAATCCGTCCGAGTCTTGACATACCCTTCATCGACCACCGTCAGCTTCATCCCTCAGACATTTCCAAACCTTCGATGTCTAAGTCTGGACCTCAACGGCTCACTTATGCACACGGCCGGCCTCAGAATTATCGCCCCAAAGTTGAAAAACCTTGCAACGGTAGAGCTCTACAAGGCGCATTGGAAACGTGATGATCTTAAGGAAGTCGTGAAGCTCTTTCCATCTATCAACTACCTCCTCATAGATGGCGAATTGAAGTTCACCAGAGTCTCGGTACGTTCGCGAGCGTGACGCGCAATTATCCCCTCCCGTCCGCTTCTCCTTTGCCCCTCGTACCTGCTACGTTTTTCAATGCTGTTCATCCCCTACGTCAAGGCGAATGGTCGTCTGCAGGCACTTGTAAATCTTTGCTCATGGTTCATTATAGGATTTAATTCCAGTCCTTAAAAATCTCAACCACTTGGAGAAGTTGGCTTTGACTGAGATTCCTGTCGTCTATCCACCGCGGGGACTGAGCGGTCAAGCTTTGCAGGCACGGATTAAAGAACTTCGGGCCAACCACTTGAATCGGGAATCTTCTACACTAAACGCAACTCGGTTCTTTCAGCAGTGCAAAACCCTGAAGGCACTGTTGTTGAAGTGCGACAAGGGCGCCAGATTCTACCAGTCAGTCGGACAGAGTCGTGACGTGATCAGAGTCAAGAGCAAGAATGCCAACAATCTTGGACTGGGCTTGATAAAGAAGGGCTGGCCCGTCATCAACAAGGCTGCCTAGTTGCTTGCACCGGATATCGTTGCCTTGAGAACGAAGGTCGCGACCACGTAAATGGTGAAACCCGTCCATGCGTTTAACGAACAATGGAGTCCCCAAGCCATGGAGTGCGGTTGGCCATAGTCTCATTAGGGAGCGAGGACATTCTATCAAGGGGTTCCATTGTGGAAAGCAGAATCATGACGAAAGCTCGGGTGGTACTTTCTACCACGGACATATATTTATTGATGATTTATAATCCTGACCAGATGGACCCAACCTGTTCCAATGGCCAAGTAAGAAATTGCCGGTGACTATCCTCAAGTATCGCGTAAACGCCATTGGTGACCTGAAGTGACCAACCCTCCATAAACCAGTGATGTTCCAGTTGCTGCAGCAGAACAGCATAGTACGCAAGCAGAACCAGAGGCACAGGTTCTCTTCTCTCTATAGACAATACAAAGTCATCCCTCAGCTCATATAGCCAGCCGTAAATAATGGAAGGGATCTGCTCATTGTCGACTTTTGGCTCATCAGGTGCTGTAAACAGCTTCCGGTAACATGATTTCAAGTGGGCAAAGGCGGGCCGATGAATGCTGTCTTCGGCGGCATACACCTCGTCCACAAGCTCTTCAATCTCAGCCAAGGGGTTCTCCCACTGCAGTACAAGCGATGTTACGCTAAGAGCTGAAAGTTTTGGTTCGTTCCATGCAGAACTACCACAGAGCAGAGCGGCCCTTGCCTCCTTTCTGATATCTTCTAGTCCTGTCGTGCTGATCACCATCTTTACTCCCTTCATCAACGCCCACCATGATACTTCGTCCTCCTCGGCGGCGGCAAGTAAGATATTCCCTGGTGATGGGTCTGTAGCAAAAGATGACAGACTTATTAGGACTGTAGCGTAGTAGACAGCCTGCGAATTATCGTCATTGACCTGGGCGAGCATGGCCGCCACTTCTGGAAATGCCGCCGCTGCATAGTCTTCTGCCAGACGGCGATAGTACCCTGCTTGATCGGGTCGTAGTCGGGTGAGGTGTCGGGCGGTGATTGATAGGACCATTCGCATAACGCAGTCGTACTTGAAGCCGAGTGGTGGAACCACATCTCTAAAGATTTGGGGGTCTCCTAGGGTTATCGAAGTGTGACACATGTAGTGGTGTAGGAGTTCGAGGCTCTGGATATCGAGAACGCAGGCATTACGCAATAGGGGATCGATGTGACTTGAGGGTGTTTGACCGTAGTCTGATTCCATATCAGAGGCCGTCGGAGTAGGAAGGTCTGTGGCGGGCTTCCTTTCTTCGTGCTGTCGAATTCGTTTTCCTTGATGCTCGTCATCCCCTAGGGACGTGGAAGTCTGTCCCTCTGTGGATGCAGATAGATAGTCGCATTTCATTGAAAATCTGACGCAGTTGCTGCACTCGGGATGAATCTCATCGCACTGTTAAGCAAGGATGTCAGTTGAGCAGCTCGATGAATGAGTAGTAGGTAGCCAGGGGCATGTGTTTCGGGCGACATTGATCTGATGGATGTAACTTAGCCAACCTTTACTTTGCGTCTTTTGCAATTCTGACAACCATTTCTAGACTTTTTGTGCGATCTTCTCTTGTTTTTGCGACACGACCCGCAGCAACAGCCTCCGGACCGGGTGGTCGTTGAGGAAGAACCCGAGCAAATCTCGATGCCTTCGCCTGCCATAGCCACGGTTGATGTTTCAATTTTTTCTGGACGGTTCACTCTCCCGACCGACAGTGTATGGATGATAGCAAAGATGTTTCGAGGCTATTCAGGGTCAGGGCACTTTTCTGTCGCGTTGCTGAAGCTGGAGACATTGCTCAGAAGTCGGCGCGACTCCCATGCTGTGGGCGTGCTGTGTCTTCGAAAGGGTGTTAGCTCGGTCTCGCGTTCCGACGACGGGATGTATTTCCGTCACCAAAAAGCATATAGCAAAGATGAGCAGAACAACTAAGCTTTATTGTGGTTGAGAGAAAACAAGCCTTTAACCAGTTCGTCGTATTGAATACGAAAATTCTCCGACGAGCGTCGATCATTGGATGACCTGTCAGAGGCCTCGGGATTCGTTACCGTCTTCTCCACTCACGCGGAGTCAATGCCAAAGGAATACCCACGGGGCTGGTCTGAGTTGTTCGAGGACATCATCGCACGAGCGTTGAAGTCACGGGGGATTCTTCGAAAGTTCTGGGGCCATGTGAATGATTCAGCCTGCATTCATATTTGCTCCAGTTCCCATCGGGGGCTTTCTCAGCGCAAACAGAAGCCATCTTGAATTCTTAATGATTCTTGAGATAGTGGACGGCGCCGTTGTCGATGAGCCGCCGACGACCCCCCACAGGTCGAAGTCAATTCGGCTTCCCTCGTCGTCTATAGCCAGTCCGATGGAGTTCAATGAATCCCGCTTCGTAAAGTTGCACTTCTCTGGAAAAGTTGGCGCCTGTAGTGCGTGTAGTATGCTGACAGGTAATGCAGTTGGCAAGGCGATCAACTCTAAATAGCGTGAACCGAGTGGCTAAGATAAATTCAACGTCATCTAAATCATCACATGGGCCTGGGGAACTGATGAAGTACATTTGAAGAAGAGCGAATCCTACTCAATTCTCACCTGAAAAGAACTGCAGTTCCATTGAGTCACAATAACTCATTTCCCTGGGCATCGTACTCTTAGCAGGTTGCAAGAATCCTTTGGCTGTTTCAAACCTTCAATGCTTACGGAACATTGAGATTTGTTTGATCATTTGTTCATTGCGGCTTGTTTATCTCTTTCCGAGGTATGACTTTCACACGTGACACTTTTTGTTCAAGCCAAGACATTATCAAGAGCATCGCCTGCCTGCCACCTCCGGATGTTATCCGCTTGTTGCTCATACCACGCGTTCAAGGTACCCTCTTCGACATAACCCATGTGAGGTGTCAGGAGCACCCTGCTGCGACCATCACGGCCCCATTCAGTCGACCGCCACTCACTGTCCGCAGGCAACGGCTCGAGGTTGAACACGTCCAAGGCACAGCCCCTGATGCCGCCCTTCTTCAAGACGTCTAGAAGATCCTTCTCGACTACGAGGGGGCCGCGAGAGGTGTTGATGAACAACGCCGACTTCTTCATCTTGGAGAGGTCATCCGCATTGATGAGTCCCCTCGATCGGTCTGACAGTACAATGTGAACGCTGAGAACGTCAGCAGTGCTGAAGAGCTCTTCGCGGCTGACAGCCTTGAAAGTGCCCACGGGCAAGCCCTCAGCCTTGGCCTTCTCATCAGCAGCTTCCTGTGTCAAATTCGTGCTCCATGCAATGACGTTCATACCAAACGCCACATGCATGATCTTTGCCGTCGAGACTCCGAGACGACCCAGTCCAACGACACCGAACGTCTTACCTGTCACGCCCATGGCAACGTCCGTCTGCCATAAGCCAGATTTGACAGCGAGGTCGTCAGCGGCAATGTTGCGTGCTAGCGAGAGGATCAGGGTCACGCAGTGCTGAGTTGTGCTATTCGTGCCGGTCTGATTGACTGTCGCCTTGTCAACAGTGCCAGCGACGGGGATGCCGCGGTCTTTGAAGGCTGGGAGGTCGAGACCCTTGTTACGCAGGCCCGTGGAGAGAAGAAGCTTGAGGTTTGGCAATCTTCCGATGAGTTCCTTGGGGAATGGAGTACGTTCTCTCATGGTACCTTGGCACTCGTGTTAGCCTGCGTTTTGAACTCATGAAGACAACGGAGTTGCTGCCATTCTATAAATGGGGGAAGGGTTATGATTACAGAGAATATCGAAAGGCTCCAACCTCGAGACCAATGCATCCTTGGCGTATTCAGGGGTCTCGGGATGATTGTAGGGCAGCAGGGTGTCCTTGAAAGTGGTGACATTGAACAATGATTTATCCAGCTTGCTGAAGTGGGGTTCCGAGATGCCCTGGTAGTCGTCCAAGACGGCGATCTTGAGTTGCGTAACCTGAACCATGGTTGCTAGGTATCTAGACGAGGTAGGGTAACTAGCGGGAGTGTAAAGGCGTTGTACGGGATGCAGGGATCCACGGCGTGCGCACGACGAGGTTGACCGGCTGAGAGGGGTCGTCAGAGTACTGATGCGGATCGGAGAGCGATACAGCCTCATGCAGAGTTTAGAAAGGCGCAGTATCGACTATGCGAAAGAGAATAGCGAGCTGGCGTTCCGATTTCACGAGGAGGATTGGTGATATCAAGGTGTTCCGGGCGACGGTGACTCAATTCGGCATCTCCAAGTCGGCTTGAAGATCTTGGCGGGGCGTATGTACGTATTCGCAGTCGGCGACTTGGAGGTGAGCGCGCATATGCAGCCTTACTCGACAGGATCAGATAATGGAAAGGAAGCTTCCGGATGGAGGTAAGTCTTGCTACAGCGTGGTTGGACGAGACGTTGTTTTCTCACGACACCAGCTGCTCATGTCACGAATAGTTCTCAAATCACTCGAAGAGCATCTAATACCCCGGTGGAGGGGTAAAACATTAGCCACCCAGAAGGCGTCTTCGTGGGGTTAGATGAGGGGAAAAGACCGATCCGGTACCGAAAACCCGAGTCTGTGTTCTTCGGTTTATTAAGCTGTAGAGATTACAAAGCCTCCATCGACAAGACCAGAAACAGTCATCTGAATGATAATAGTCATTTAATCTTCATATAACAATGCTCGGCATTCATTCAACCGCCGCGAGTGCTCCTTTCTGACTATCAGTCTGTCAAGACTCAAGCCTCATTAAGTCAGCGGGTCGGGACATCTCGGTATTCAGGCCGGGATTTTACGGCTAGCAAATTATCTAATCAAGTCTAGTCATAGTCTTTGGTAAGACAACCTGCTATCTCATAACCTGGCGTGCTTACGTATGTATTCTGTGTCTCTCTCACCCACGTTGCCACGTTCCTGGCCCCCAATCTCTCCAAGGGTGGTGGCCAGACCACTCGGTGCCCTCTGAAGACTCCTCCATCGCGCTCACTAGTCATGGGCCATCCATGAGGGCCAACCTGGAGATGGGATGGAGATTGCCCGGAGGTCTGTGGAGTTGACGTTTCTTTGCCCAAACAACGGTGCCTAGCTAACCTTGCGTCCCCAAGTCCCTGACCGCTCCGTTCTGGAGACAGTGAACTGAAGATTGAACTTTGGAAACAAGAGGGTCTCTTCACGTTGTTTCTCGGACCATTGCGAATGACGCCATCGACTAGCGTCCCACCAGAGGAAAATATTTGCTAACAGAATTTGACAGCTTCACCAACAAAGGTAGGAGGATGGCGAACGCCGGGCAGTCAAACGGAGGTCGGAGAGGAATGCCTATTCTCGCACGACGGTGACAATGCTGAGGCTCTCATTTACTACAGACTGCTAATGTCCGTATTCATCCCGTCCGGCTCTTCGCTTCTGTATTGCGGGCACGCAGGCCGCGGCTGGCGTGTCTGGTTCTGAATACCAAGACATAGGAACACTTCAGAAGTTCCTCGCCAAGCAGCCCAAAGCATCCATTGACGCGGACCAAGTCGGTTGATCGGTTGATTGCTGCCAAGTCGGTCCAACACAACTGACAAATGATGCCTCTCTGGTAGGTTGATTTGCGGGTGGCCAGGAACTGCATCCTCTCACCTGATTCTGGAATCTGGATTTCTTGTTACAGCTAATGATGAGATTTGCCTCCCTTCTGATGAATTTGTAAATTTGACCACACAGATCGTAAGAAACAATCACCAGAGTACCTGGCTGTGGCTACATTCAATGATGAATCAAAATTGACCCCGGACTATGAGGGGGACACTTAGCGTAGGGTCTCAGCCGCCGCGCTCTTCGCTGATCACTCGTACAAATGTAACGTGATGTCGGCAACAAGCTTTGCCAGCCCTCTCGGCCATTCTCTCCGTGTCTCTCTCCAGTCTCGGCTTTGCTCTCGGCGCTGCCGTCTGTTCTTGGGGCCTGAAGGCCGCTGCGCCAGCGCGCCCATCCCGTCGCGGCGTCGCCTTGACTCAACGCTCTCACTAGGTACGCCATGAAGAGCCATGGCGCCTGCAAGCAAATGTCAAGCATTTGCCGTTGCGAGCCTCTGCTAGCCTTCAAGCCTTCTAGCTAGGCAAATGCTCGGCGAGACTGGGCATTTGCTGGGCAAAGCTATGCGACGTCCAAAACAGACATCCTGATAGAGCTCGCCGCCGTGCCGTCCTCGAGTCTTACCGCGAAGGGACATGGCTCGCACGTTACGAGAGACTGGCACTCGGGGGGCATGCGGAGAGTTTCCAGGGCCCTCTGACGCTCGTAAACCCGTTCAAGCCCCCCGGACGCCACCTGCGTCGTGCTAACTAGGGGACTTATCCTCGCATCTTCACCCGTCCAACCCGTCACCTACGACTCCATTGCCGTGCAGGCGTTTGTCCCAATGAAAGATGCCTCTCCTACACCCCCTGGTTTTTGTGGCTTGCGATTAATCTTGGATTTCTGAGTAGTATGTTGCCTCGCGAGACTCGATAGGTATCTGAGCTCAACGGCGCGAACGACTGAGCCTACCGAGGTTTGATACAAGAGGTTCACTACTAGCAGAATGAATAGAGTCTACCTGACTGTGCCCATGAGAACTTATGAGGACTATCGGTTTCCTAGTCAAGCCTACCACACCGTTGTTAGAAGACAACTGCAATGTAATTCCTATTCGTACTAATGGTATGATATTGGCGACTCTCGGGCTTCGTCCCGCCCTGAACTCAAGGGGCTACGATCAATGTTTAGCGGCCAGGAAGAGCGAAGTCAGTAATCATGATCGTGTGAGGGTCTCGCGAGCTTCCATTCGTTGAACTTCTTATCGGAAGTTCGGCAAGCCGTAGGCTGGATGAAGCCAGAAGGATTCGCGAGAGGGCTGGTTCGTGGGACATTGCCGTGCTGATTGCATGCGACATCCCGCGTCGCACATGCTGTGAGTGGTGCGCCCATCTCTACTCAGGCCACTGACAATCTGACAATCTGGCAACCCACACCATCTGGGGGTTCAGACCTGGGGTCGCCCGACCTCTCTGACTTCAGGTTCCCATCGTGTCGGGGTCTGTCTGGTCTGTGCAGTGGTTGCCCCCATCAAGTGCAGAAAGTAGACACGCGACACCGAGACCACTGCCCGTTACCTACACTAGTTGCTGTGTGCTGAGCCTGATGCGCGCGGGCTTTGCTCCATCGTCTCGCGGGGTTCAACAGTGTACGTAGTATGAGTATCCGTAGGTAGACGAACTTTTGAAGAGATGCCTCGGCGGCGCTACCCGTGGATACTAGCAACCAAAGCCAAGAAGACAAGCAATGAGGCGAAGCTTGGAGCATGCTTGCAACCGAGTCTTGGCTTTGGATGAAAACGAGGGAGACGGAGAGGAGACGGAGACGGGGGCACTTTTGAAGAGACCAACTCGCTAGGACATGAAGCCAAGACCGTATATTTCATTGCCCGTTGTCTGGGCGGTCGTGATGGGAATACCACCTTTCCTTTTCGTCTCTTGAACCCCATATAATCCTGTGGGCACATGTCAAGTGTCATCTCTGGAGTAAAGAAGCCGTGCCCATTGCCATTGCCCAGGAGTCTGGCACCGTTGACTAAGAGAAAAGCCTTCCCGGCATTGGTGTGTCTGGGCGGGCTTCCGCTCCCACATTCCCACATTCCCCCAAACTTCCCAACTCCCAACGACGCCAGTCCTTCAAGTCTGCACAATTTCGGCGGTATCCAGTGGATCGTAAGCAGTCCGATACGAATCTCCCGTCCGACTGGTCCATCTCAAGAGCCAGAAGCTGATCCATCATCCAAAAGGACCTTTCGATGGGGCCGTTCCAAGAACTGCAGACAAAAATCCCCCGGGGTGTCTGGCTGAACCGGGTATAGCCTCGCTCCGGAACCAACCAAACAGGGGAGGACGTGGGTGTCGCGACATTAAGCTCATGGGCCATTGCTACGGCTCTTATCGTTTGGGAAGGTCGCCGGGGGACTAGTGCCACGGCAGAGAGCTGCAACTAAAGTGTTTGACCGGACTATTCCATGCGGTCCATCTGTCAGCAACCAGCTATGCTAGGAACGCGTACGTAGTTTGTGGATAGCACGACGCGGCTTTGTCTCAAGGAGTTGACGTGTAGGAAGAGACGAAGGAGGAACCGCATGTTCAGCTGAAGAGTAAGTTGATAGCGTCAAACTGCATGGGAGAGTGAACGATATCGTCTTCTGCTGTAGAGAAAGAGAGTCATGATGTGCACATGCGGCAATCCTCGGCCTTTACCCTCGTTTGCAAACCCAATTGTCTACTCAACCCCTCTCCAGCCCTAAGCCAAGACCGTTTACACCCATTCAACCACTACGGTGGCCTTGCTAGCGACATCACCTTCCCTTTCCCGCGCCGTAGATGAGTCTTGGCGGTGCGTATCATGAAGGGGGCGGCGATGATTTGAGATGCGCCTTCGCATCATCGACATTTCCCAAACTTCACGAATCGACTAGTGATCCGCTCATTGGTAGCGACTACGGAGTACTGTATTAGCAGATGCAGTAGAGTCGAACAATGCGATTCGTCGCATACTAAAAAAGGCCCCTAATCAACGGCAATCCTTCGTGTGGCGCATCAACGAATCAAGACCTCGGCGTGGCACTCGGCTATCACCAGGCCACCCGCCCCCTAGGTAGGTATGCTCTCCCTTCCCGTCCATCGTGCAGGACGGCGCCAGGCATGCCCAGGACCAACTTTGTTCTCGAAGCCGCGCCAGAAGCCAAGTCGCAGCTAGGTATGCGGCAGGCTCACGCTGGCGCTCTCCCGCGAGCCGAAGTGAACGCCCAAACACGTCTGGTCATCCAAGTTACACCACCACACCAACACTGGCAACACAGAGCCAACCAGCAATTTTTTCGTGCCAACACTGATAGAGAAGTCAGGTCCGGGAGACGCGCCAATGAAGATGCTCGATGAGATGGGGTGGCGGCGATGCCAAGGTCGATCAACGTTACCGCCGAGCCCCTTGGCTGTCGCATTTCACCGTCCAAGGGACTCAAGCTCTCACCACTTTGTCGCCCTGCTGGCTGACTTTTCCCGAGTCTGGTAGGAAGATTCTGCAACCTGCTGATATCAGGTAGAGACGGCCGAGTTCAGCTGTTTGCCCGGGGTTCACGAGTCGCGAATCAGATGCTCTCCCTCACCAGAGTGTGTATCCAACAAGGCGAACTCAGTCTCGCTGTCTTTCACTCTGTGTCTCAATTCTGGTGTAAACCCCATACCGACATCAGCTACGCCGCCGCCTATCTGCTACCCTCTCATCCTCGACCTGCCTAATCGGGCCATTTGTCCTCGAGCCCATCACGGTCCATCATATCCATCGGGGTCCATCGTCTCTCTCTCGTTGGAGCTGCCCACCACCCACCACTGCTATCTGTCTCGGTCCAGCCTGGCGTGGATTCCGTGGACTCTCACCTGTGGCATCGTTCTCTTGCAACAGATCCCTTCAACTCTCTTGCCTGCGACCTGCATCCTGCGCGCGCTGGCCGCCTGTCTGCGATTCTGATCCCCCCCCCCCTGCACCGTTCCAAACGCCCGACCTCGACCCCGTTGTCCCCGACAGTATTCTCTTCGTGATGCGGTACTCCGCGTTGCTCTGTTCTTTGCAACGCAGCCAAGTAGAGGAAGAGGTAGCGTGTAGGGTATTCTCTCGTCTCCTGTCCCGTGGCGACGGTTCTGGGCGAGATGGACGGTCCCCTCCCTCCCTTCTCGACGGCTCCGTCGACGGCCACGCACGAACCCTGGACCCAGGAACCTTGTTGACATCGAGGCAAACCTTACCTCCTCCACGATTGGCCCGTCCTATGCCATCCCATGCCACCACCGTCTTCCCTCCGTGCTAGGCATGAGTCCATGTCCATGTCATCCAACCCCCGTCCTTGTCCCCCCACCTCCAGGCGCTAGACTCCTAGAGTATCTTGTCCATGTCTCTGTATCTGCGGATACCTACCGGCTGCCGAATGCAGCTGTGATGCGACCTCCTGCTGTCGCGACCGGGACATATAAATCATCTCTCATGAGACGCTCCCTCGCTCATGGCTCTCCCCTTCCATTTCCTCTCGCGATCAGCAGCCCTTCATCCACGGCCAACAGCTCAGGTCCAAGTTTGACCCACCTGTCAATTTGCTGTCAAAGACTCGTTAACTCGTGTCTTTCGCTATCATCACTCCCAGAGCCTCTTGTACCCAACCTCTGGTTCCTCACCCCGCTCCAGAAACTTTCCTCCAACTCAAGCCATGAGTAACGCCGGAGGCCTTCAGGACGATGTCCTGGCCAAGGCTCACGTTCCCCAGGCCACTGTGCAGGGCACCTCGAAGGAGACTCGCGGCTCATTCGACGTGACCGCCGCCGCCGCCCCTCCTCTCGAAGACAACTACTACGACTCCAAGTCCGACGATGACTACGAGGATAAGCCCACCGAGGAGGAGTTGAACACGCTTCGCCGTGTCTCGGGTCCCATTCACTGGGGTATCTACACCATCGCCTTCGCCGAGCTTTGCGAGCGTTTCTCGTACTACGGTTCCTCCGTCTTGTACACAAACTTCGTCATGCGCCCCCTTCCTCCGGGTTCGACGACCGGCGCCACTTACGGCGCTGATATCCCCGCCGGTGCTTTGGGCATGGGTCAGAGAGCCTCTCAGGGTGTCTCTCTGGTGAACCAGTTCTGGGCTTACCTCGTTCCCCTCTTTGGGTATGTTGCTTCACGTGAATCCTCGCTGAGAACACAGACTGACTAGTAATCCAGTGGTTGGTTGGCCGATTCCAAGTTGGGCCGTTACAAGGTCATTCACATCGCCATCGTCGTTTCGACCGTTGCTCACATCATCCTGACTGTCGCCGCCGCTCCCTCCGTCATCTCCAAGGGCAAGGTCGCCTTTGCCCCCTTCTTCCTCGGCCTCTTCACTCTTTGCTGCGGTACTGGTCTGTTCAAGGCCAACATCTCTCCCCTGCTCGCTGAGCAGAACAAGGACACCCGCATGCGCGTTGAGACACGCGGCGGCGAGCGTGTCATTGTCGACCCTTCCGTCACCAACACCCGTATCTTCCTGTGGTTCTACTTCGCCATCAACTGCGGTGCCGTCAGCGGTCAGATCTCCATGGTCTTCGTTGAGAAATACCACAGCTTCTGGCTGGCCTTCCTCCTCCCCACCATCCTCTTCCTGATCTGCCCTGTCGTCCTCTGGTCCAACAAGAAGAAGTACCACCTCACTCCCCCTACCGGTTCCGTTCTCGAGAAGTTCTTCCGCATGTCCAACTTTGCTGCGAAGCGCTCTGGAGGCATCACCAAGCTGAACTGGGAGAATGCGAAGCCCAGTAACGTCCCCGTTGCCGAGCGCCCTGGCTGGTTGACCTATGACGACGCCTGGGTTGATGAAGTCCGCCGTGGTCTGAAGGCCTGCAAGGTCTTCCTCTTCCTGCCCATCTTCTTCCTCGCCTACAACCAAATGACCAACAACTTGACTTCCCAGGCCGGTTCCATGGTCCTGAACGGTGCTCCCAACGACGTCATCCAGAACCTGAACCCCCTCTCCATCATTATCATGATCCCCATCCTGGATCACGTTGTCTACCCCGGATTCCGCAAGATGGGCTTCAACTTCACTCCCATCAAGCGTATGACCACCGGTTTCTTCTTCGCCGCCGCCGCCATGGTTGCTGCTACCGTCATGCAGCACTACATCTACCAGATGTCCCCTTGCGGTGACCTGGCCACCATCTGCGAGGAGGGCCCGGCTCCCATCAACGTCTGGGCTCAGTGTCTCCCCTACGTCTTTGTCGGTCTCGCTGAGATCTTCACCAACGTCACCTCCTACGAGTATGCCTTCTCCAAGGCCCCTGAGAACATGAAGTCTCTCGTCATGTCCGTCAACTTGGCCATGAGTGCTGTCTCCGCCGCCATTGGCCAGGCCTGGACTCCCCTGTCCGAGGATCCCCTCCTCGTCTGGAACTACGCCTCCGTCGCCATCATCGCCTTCCTCGGCGGTGTCGCTTTCTGGTTCTGCTTCAAGCACCTTGACGGTGAGGAGGATGAGCTCAACCAGCTCAAGAAGACCAAGTTCCTTGGCTCCAACCAGCCTACTGCCGCGGCTCAGGACGATCAGGTCGCCCAGGCCCAAGTTGCTGAGAAGGTTTAAACCACCTATACACAGAAATGTTCATGCTCTGCTTCCTGTGGAGGAGCGTGTGTAACCTCATTTGGTTGTATGATTTCCCGCGTCAAATGATTCCCCGGCAGTTGGTCTTGCGGACTAGCTGTCAATACTCCTAGTTAGACAAGTGCACGATAATGCATATAATGAAGATACCTATTCCCCATGCATCAGTCTTGCCATAGTCATAATGTGAATGAGCTTGATAGAATGAATCTAGGCGTCAATTGCCTGCTATTGAGGGTCGTGTAGATTGGTCGGTAATATCAAGTGCCGTTTCTACCTGTTCTCATTCAGTTTAAGCTGGTTCCAGTCTCAATGTGGCCTGATACAGCACCGAACCACGAATGTGTGTTCAACTTACCTTGAGAGCTTGCCATCATACTCATGCCGACTAGCGCCACTTCAAGCTCAGTAGATGAGGTTTTGGTCTTCCCATTGGCTGTGAAAAAGAGACTGACACAGGTCATGCTCGACCATCTCCCAGTTTCCAGTATGCGTATCCAACGCCACCGAGATCATATGTCGATATGGTGATGACTTCCATAGCATGAAGCTGAGCATACCAATGACTGGCCAAGGTAAATTCGAGCACCCTCGTAATAGAATCGAGCCAAGCTATGAGTGTGTGTGCGTTGACCTCGTTAAGCGGATAATAGGCAGCTGCGAGTAGTACATGTATCGTTTGGTAGTCGTTCAGATCTTCGTCATCCGGAACAGCACAGTCCTGCTTCGTGGTTATATCCCGGCGGTTCATTCCATTCAAGTATGCAAGGGTTAAAGTCTGAGCCTAGAAACCTTCAAGTAGTGATAACTTGTCACGTCTCAGCGGGAGGGTTAGAACACCCCTTACGTTGAGATTTACTGGATTAGATACGCTGCAAAACTGCCTTCTGACGATAATCAATTCTCGGACACGCCAGAGAATTTGGATCTTAGACACAAGCTCAGATGGCGCGATTCAAAAAGCTTCGAGTACATCAGACCGAGGAGGAAGTCCAGCTAGAACAGGCTGTGCCCCGAGGCGAAGGGCTAGTAACGGCGGCCAAACTTTACTAGGCATAGTAATAAGGCATCAAAATTGAACCTCCAGTTTCTGTTTCTTGAGGATCATGCATAATTCACAAACCTTCTAGGTTGGCTCGAGGATGACGACGCGCTGGTAGTGTGACTCCTTGATAGACTGGAATTTGAGGATCGTTGTTTCTGGTCGTTTACATTATGACAAAAGAAAAGGTACCTATTACAGTTGTACTTTTGGGTGGTAGCCCGGGATATCTCGATGTTGCTTCAACTTAAGAAATCGAACGCTGCCCCTGAACTCCAACTCTTGTCCAGCATTGAGTCATCATACAAATCCCTTCTCAGACTATGGCTCCCTTGCTCAGGGGCTTCTCTCCGGTCCTGTAATCAGTCGAAGATCGAGAATCGTCCCCGACGCTGGTATTGGACTCGTACGTCAAGTTGACATTGGTTGTGCGGACAATTCCATTGTATGTCATGATTTCCTCCTCCGACCCAGAAGGTGACGTGCTTCGGATCTCTGTGTGGTGTTGCGAGCGCGTCATACGCATGTCTTTAAGCGTGATGTTGTCGCCTTCTCGGACCGTGTTACGAGGGCGAGAGGAGTTGCCGTAGTACTTGAGCCCACTGCTGCCGGTCTTGCCAGAGCTGATGGCACCGAAGAGCTTCGGCCACCACTTGCGGAACATGGGACGCAGAGCCGGGGCGGACGCGGAGACGATGGCGAGGTTCACTTCGACCGTGTTGTAGACGACGCCGATATCGTAGAAGGGGTCTTTGTTGGGATCCGGGGGCACGTAGAAGAGCTTGTAAATGGCTACGAGACGGATGATAGCCACGACGGTGACGCTAGTAGAGGACTTATCAGCTTGGGGCAGGATTTTCGAGACCATGGATGCAAAACTTACACTGCACCAACCAAGAAGACGCAAATAACGGCAATCTTTGCGCCCATTGGCATCTTCAAGCCCAGGAAGATCCAGAACGGTAACAAGAGGACGAGTACATCCATCAAGACGTTGAGACAAGAGATCGACACGTGAAAAGAGTTGTCGACACATCGGGCAGAAGCTCGTACGAGAGGATCCCAGTTAGCCTCGATCGGTAGGCACTGAAGGAGTGCGACGAGGAAAATGGCAGTGGCCATGGCAGCATTGGCGATGTTCAAGCCGTGGATGGTCCATCTAACTCCGGGCTTTTGTCCTCCGAGACGCAGAAGGAAGACCAAAATTGAGGCTCTGACGAAGGCCAAAACAGGGTTGTAGAACATTTGTGCCATAAAGAACCACCACATGGCGGGTGACGAGTTGAAGGGCTGGGGAACATCAACCGCGTGGTATCCGAAGTACATAAGCTTGATGTCTAGGCAGAGTTTAGTACACAAACGAGGCAAAGCGAAGGCATGGTGAAGCACTTACACATATAGAATGGCGGCGTCATACACACTGCGCATAGCTGAGAACTCTGTTAGCCAACATGATCCCTTCCATTGTTGCCTCTCGTTCGTTCGAATTTCGTACCACTGCCATGCCGCATAACCAGTCATCTATTTCTAGCGTTAGCCCCAATGGTCTGACAACCGGCATAAAACCTGCTTCCTCGGTCAACGTACCAAGACCCCATTGTCTAGTCGTAAGTCTACTATATGTTCGAGCTCCAAACACAACAATCGAAAGCGCCGGAAAGAAGAATGTGATGAAGATAGCGGCTTGCTGATGGGGCGGGGTCGGTATCGTCAATACGTCCGGGTGCTCAGGGCGCCGAGCAACAATCGAAGCATACTCCATGTTGAAAGATGGATGAATGGATATGATATGTAATCAGGCCTGCAAGAAGCAGCCGGGCTGCCTTGTAAAAGGGAGATCGGCCCCCAAGGCGAAGCTTTGACTGGCTCCTCAGTTGATGAGTCGTGCTGTCCTGTCCCAGGGCGCCGGGTCGTCGTGGGTAAGAGCCAAGAAATCTCGATATCGACCAAAGCGAACCAGGAGAGAAGAGCGGTCAGATCGAGGGTAGCAGCGAGAGACAGGAAGGACCCTTTTCTTTATGTAGATCTTTGTGTCTTATTGAGAGGGTGATCCACGATGTCGCCACAGTTTCCCCCTCTCCGGGAAGACTAGACGCTACTGCTGCTTGAACCAAGTCGAACGACTACGCTAAACATGATACACGGGAAAATAAGCTTGACAGGCTCTGAAAGATAACCGTTCACCCGTTGCAAAGTAGAGTTTTCTGCAGATCCCCAATGTGGACGGAGTGATCCTGACTCCTCTCGTGTTCCAAGGGTGGTCTGTAAGGGAGGGAAAGGGGGCGTGGCCTCTAGCTCCGTTTCTCTGCAAGGCACCGTGATCCTCCATCTCAGAGTTTGCATATTATTGGCTTCAGAGACGTCTTTGCAACACAAGCGAGCGAACGGGAGAATCTTCTGCTCTCAAAGGTTGGGGCGGAGACGAACAGGAGCAAGGTCCCAGGTAGGAGGATAGTCTAGCCTATGTAGACCCTTGCTCCGCCCGCAGACCTCCGGTAGTGTGCTGCGCGCATATGAAATCCCGAGAGTGTTCAAGATTGCAGAGCCATTAAAGGGCCCCCACGCTGTCATAGTGTTGACTGCCGTTTGCGGCACGGCATGGCTAGGCGAGAAGCCTTTTTTTAACTTTTGAGACAACAGTTGGTTCACCCGAATGAAGTTGACAAGGCTACCAAAGTGTCGGTGCTGAATATCAGATTCAAATATTATAGTTACCACCCGCACTCGACTATCAGCCTTAAGATCGGACTATCATCATCACATCAGAAATTTTCAAAGGCAATCTGCAGTCTCCGAGCTTCGGCAACCATTCCAGCTCCAAGGACTCGTTTCTCATGTCGTGCGTTGCAATTCCCTCAGGGGTTCGCATGTATATTCCTTGTCTGCCAAGGCGCTTAGAACACCATGCTCGGCCAAGAAAATGGCGTGTCTGGGCAACGCATGGGAGAGAACAGCGGGTTGGCTTTCAGCCGAGGGAACGGACAATTCGTAAAGCATCAAATCTGCTTGAGACCCTCTTTGAATTGCTTCCAGAAAACTCGGCCCAGTCTGTGTGTTGTTTAGTCGCGGCAATGAGTGCGCTACCAACGGCGTCTAGTTACGAACCGCCGTTGCAGATTCCGATGCAACTACGTATGGCCGTACGCTTGTCGCTTGAGGCCCGACAGTACCAGTGCGGGTTCAATTTGAGCTCAACCCCGGACCCCAGACCCAAATTCACCGCCATTGCCGTTTCCCACTCTGTATTCGTAGTACGGAGTACTGCGGTAGAAGCGGCTGGCAGAGTGCAAAGACGCACGGTAATTGTCAAAATTGTCTTTTGTCGATCCTTACCGCACATGGTGTCAGTGTCCTGTCAAGCACCCCGGCAAAGACTCTTCAACCCTTGCAAGCGAGAGAGACTAAGTTATGAAGCCCCTCACAACTACGGGGCAGTCGCGAACCCTGATTCATTTGTGCAAAATCCCATTATCTCAGCACTTCCCTTCCGGATGGAGACGTCCTCCTTCTTGCCTCTTTTCAGTTCGGACATGACTTGTCTTTTCAGGCAGCCAAGTCCTGGCCTCGTGGCGTCGGCGTGGGTCCGGCAGGAAGTTCGTTGGATGAGCTTCTCTCGACATCCGACGCTCCGAAACTTGCGTTGCCAAGAATTCGACAACAGGTCGGGGGTTAGGAACTAGACCAATCGTGCCCCATGGCGATCTATCGACTTGATGAAAGAAAGTTTTGGCGGCGGTTTCTGGACTCTTAAGGGCCGGCTTGCTGTCACCTATTTCAGTCAATTAGCCGGTTTTTGTTCCTTGACCTGCCTGTGGGATGGTTACAATAGAGCGTCTGCCACCAAATTTTGGGCATCAATCCAGCCGGGATATCATACAGCGTCTGCGGGAACGAGCCGACAGCCTGCCCCGCGTGTTCGGTGGCGTCGGCGCCGGTGTAGGCACAGCCGCACAGGTGATGATACTTGCTGGTGAGAACACTACGAGGCAAGATCATCGGCCTTTGACTCGCACGACTCGCCTGAAAGTTCGGCGCGTCCAACGACACCCACTTCCCGCATGCCTAGAAGACTTTGGTTCAGCTGAATGCAAAGCTTGGTCACTTGGCCGCCCTCTTCGC